AAAATCCAAGTCTGATAATGTCACTACCCACCCACCACCCACTTTCTATAAACTACTTTCAGTTGCTCTGAGAAAAAAATAACTACCATGGCCTAGATTCTGAAGGTCCCACATGGTTTGATACTCTTCTGTCTCTCCAAAGCCATCTGCCCCTGATGCCTCTTCACATTCTCAGATCTCATTTCACTAGCTGTCATTTGGTCCCCTGAGTAAGGCAACTCTCTCTCACCACAGGGCCTTTGCACTTGCTGTTCTCATTACCTAGAATGCCTCTCCCTTCTCTTAAATTGGAGCTTGTACTGACTCTTCAGAGCCCAATTCAAATGTTACTTTCTCAGAAAAACCTGCTATGATCCAGGTCACGTTCCCTGCTATACATTCTCTTTATACCGTTTACCTTTCTTTCACAGCACTTGGCACGGTTGCAAATACATTTATTTTTATGATTATTTAATTCTCTATTAGACTTTAAGTTCTTGAGATCTTGTTGTGTTTGGCTGACCTTTGCTTAATGCCTATTACACTGCCTGGTACCTAGACAATGCTCAATAAATGCTTACTGAATGGATGAATAGAAGACTCATTTCTGTGATCACATTCAAAGAAGTGATGCTGTTTTCATGTTGTAAGTATGGTACCAGGATCATAGACCTTCCAAATTTAGACAAAAAGAAAGCTCATCTTTGGCTTGGACAGGTACAGCTTGAGGAAGGTGCTAAAAACTGGAAGTTGTTGCCAAAGCAAAGAAAGTACTGGTAGGAATGCAGACCTTAAGGAATCAGTTGTCCAAGTTTAAGAGCACAGAAGGATACCAAGAAAGCTAAATGCAGACCCAGGGATTTTTCCTAGCACAAGTTCTAGATGGGCCACACAGAAGTCCAGGAGTAACAGATGGAGCAGTCTCTGAAGCAAAAGAAAGAACCAAGGATCTAGAACAGAATATAAAATTCCTCTCCTTTTAATCACATCTCATAAACATTTGAACCTGCACTGGACCAGAGGGACCTGCACTGGACATTTAGCAAATAAAGCACATGTAGGAGACAGGGATGGACAGCCCTTAGAGACTGCCAATCCCAATCCAGGTGCCTGAGCAGGATCCCCCTTTGCTCACTGAAGTTTTCAAGGGAGTCTTCCTATGGATATAGATGAATACAGACGAGAGGATCCTCATCCATTCCAATCTTATGATCTCCAGTTCAGGAAAGAGTCCTATCTCTGAGTGGACTTGGGAATCTACAAGCCCAAATTTGTCCCCAAGAGACTTGGCAGTCTGGCTTGGGGTGATACGTTAGCCCTTACCATGAGATAATTTATGTTTTAGAGTTAAGTCTCTGCTGAGATAGCGCTTGGCTAGGCTGAGACAATGGCTGTGGCAAAGAGGCCTTGCTAATGCAGTGAAGCTTGTTGACACTAAATAGCAAGAGGAACAGCATTAGTTCTGGTCTAAAGTAGAGGAGCCAAGTCACAGTTTTAGAGCCAACAGATCCCTACAGAAGTCATATAGGTGTGCTGCTCAGATCTCCTTCAAAAGACAGCTTCCAGCTGCCACCACTTTGGATCAACAGAAACAGATTATGATGTGTTCATCCTGAGACCACATACTCCTGGATTCCTCCTGCCAATTCCTCTAGTGAGGAATACTAGAGCCAGGTTATTCTTGAGTGATATGGGACTCTTCCCACGGACGTCCTTGCTTGGAGACTCACCATTAGCCTGTCCAAGACTTTTTTTCAGAACTGTACTGCTGTCTAAGACCTTTCCTACCCAAACTTCCTTCCCTCTCTCCTTTCACAGGTGTCAAACCTGCTTTGCCATTTGAAGACTCTCCTTTCCTACTCCTGCTCCTTTTCCCCTTTCTCATTTATATGCACTCCTCCCCATTTCTCCTGCAACATGTATATATATATATATATATATATATATATATATATATATATATATATATATATATATATATATATATATATATATATATATATAATTTCTCAGGAAACCTAAAATGATTCACCCTTTCAAAAGGACTCTGAAAACAAAGATGCATCCGAACTGCTGAAATATTCCTAGAAGTAAATATGAATTATTCCATATGTGAATCACAAGAATTTCTCACCTAAATGTGGCCAATACACTAAGAGATGGAGAAACTTAGGACAATTGAGATACGTCTCTGAGGAGACACTCTCACTTTGGAAGATCATCACTTAGAAGAGCTGTTGATGCTGGAAAGACTAGGAACCAAACTGCTATTCGTGAACGTTCAGAATGTCTGTGACAGTCCTCCCTGAGGACAGACCTCAAGGCGGGGATGTGACAAAAGCGGGCAAGGCAGAGGAACAGGTTTGGAAGGATCTGTTAGATTATAACAAAGAATTTGGCATTAAAGGCAGCAACATTTTAGTTTGAATTTCAGTGCCTCCTCTAAGTATATGTGCTGTCTTTGGCAAACTAACTAACTTCTCTGAGTCCCAATTTCCTCAACTAATCAATGATTATTGATCTTCATCATTAAGGGTTTTTATCAAATGGAATGTAGGGGCCTGCTTAACACATTCATAGGTGTGTCTTTTCCCCTTCTGCCCACTAGAGCTATCCCCACCTCTGACGTCTATGAAGACCTGAAGAGCACAGAAGGCCAAGTTAACTTGCCATTTATCCATATGCAATGTACAAAATGCCTTCAAGCTGGAGAGCTAGGTGCATTTCCCTTTCCCTTTATTTACAGCTCACATCTTTGCCCACATGGTCTCACTGTCTGATATCAGCTCAAGGTCCTTCCAAATTCCACCTTAGTCCCTCCCTCTCTCTCCTTCACAAGAATATCAAAACTATACAGTGTCTTCCTCTTTATCATTCCTACATCATTCTTGTGTCTCTGAGTATCTTGCCAATGCATGCATCCTTTTTTACTGACTTAAACTTATTTTTCTAATTCTACAGATTCAATTGATACCATTTGTGCTAATTTGATTCATAAAAATACATATTAGATAATCTCCCTATTTCTTATTCTTTTAATCAAATATATTTTCCCCTGATCAGTAAGATCAATTCCTAGGTATTCAATAAAAGGATTAAAAATCAGGTGCTCTGTAAATGGTGACTTTGAGAAGACATAAGACTGACTAACTGACTTAGCGTATATCAAATGGTACTTGTCTGCTATTAACTAAATGGAATTTAGATGAATTGTGATACATGTTTATAAGTGACAGAACACTGAGCTTCCAAGGGGTTACTTCCAGGGGTCGGGGGTCTAGGGGAGAAGGTCCAGGTTTCCAACATAAAGCTCAACAGAGAAGCAGCTGCTCACAATGTCTCCCACCTTCACCCTAAAGGTCTTCTGACCCTTCCCATCTTACAGGCTCCGCTGCTACTGCAGGAGCTCATGCTTGCAACTACTGACATTGTTCTATAAATCTTATCTGCTTCTCCTCACCTGGCTCTATATGGCATTGCTCGCTAAGCTAGCACATCAATCTTCTTAGATGCAGCAAACCAACTCATGGCCCAATTACACTGTTCAGGCACCAGTCATCTCTGTCCTGGTCCTGAAACATGTCTTTTCTGCCTGGCATTTCTGGAAGTAAAGACCTCTTGTATTTTCAGGACCTCAAGGACATTTGGGCAATGGTTTCTTCCATGGTGCCATGATAGATGGAATACTGGGCCACTTAAATCCTCTTATAATACAGAGTGGTCTCCTGTATGTGGTCATTGTTCAGATGATCAAGCAAAGAACTCAGGCAAGAGTCAATATCAAATCTGTCATTCTAGGTGAGAAGCTAATTTGAGAATTGCACGTTTATTGTGAAAGGTGAAAATGGGATCCAACTGCTTCAATGCCTTCTTCCCTTGGGAAAGAGATATGGCAGTCAATGAAGTCAGGTCTGTTGTCCAGACATAGTCAGAAGACTGCTGGAAATCAGTCAACAAGATTCCTTAAACCTCTATTGGTTGAGCATTAGAGTAATGGATTCAAAGAAGATGTAGCTGATGTGTCCCTTCCCCCCTTTAGAAAGCTCACAATTTAGGGGGGTTAGGGGTAGAATTCAAAACATCTGTGAAACAGACATATTAACACCATGAACATGAAGGCTGTTTATTGTTTTTCTCTCCTTTCATCATTCCCCAGACCACATAAAATTTTATTCTCATTTGCTACTTTTCACAAATTCCTTGAATCATCAACTCCCCAATCTCCTCCTTGCTACAGTCTCATCCTCTACACTTTCAAACATCTCCAATCTGGACACTATGTTAAAAATGTACGGAATGGAATAGATGTCACAGACTTGAGCCACACTTCCAGATGACTTTTCAATGGGTGGGAATGAGTCCCTGCTATAACAATAAACTCCACTCAGGGGAGCTCAAAGAGGAATACTAATTTTAATACAACAGTGGAATGATGCTCATTTGGGTACCACAATCAAGTGATCCTCATTTTAGTATTATTTAGAAGCTAGAATTTAGTATTGCTAAATATTTAATATTTAGTTTTATTCAGTATTGGCTATTCAGTAACACTGAATAGCCTTGTTTAGGAATTGAAAAGGTTAATATGCAATGTAAAAGCTCAGATTTCTTAAGATTCCAACAAGATTTTCACAAAAGCACATTTGCAAACTCTTCCTTGTTGTTTTTCAAAGCCAGAAATAAGAATACTGTTTGAAGTCTTTGAACTCTGAGCTCACCTTAATTCAGTAATCTATATTCCCATTTAATCATATTATCATATTCCCAAACCCTATTCACTTTTTTCTTTCTCTCTGTCTATCTCTCTCTCTCTCTCTCTCTCTCTCTCTCTCTCTCTCTTCCTCCCTCTCTCCCTCTGTTCCTTTTTTTTTCCTTTCCTTTCCTTCTTTCTTTCTTTTTTTTTTTTAAAAACAGGACACAAACACCTCTCTTAAGACCTTCACCCAGGCCCAGAAGAGGAGGCAATAGAGTTTCAGAATAAGGAAGAGTCCCTCCTCCTACAACACAGCTGTGACACTTACGTTAAAGTCGAACAACACGCCAAAGTTCGCGGCAGAGTCCTCTTCAGGTCTGGGAACTGTTTTTCTAGGTATGCTGCCATATGGCAAACCCCAGAGGTACTACATGGAGAAGCAAAGCAAGCAGTTAACAATTGGAAACAAAGTCTGAACCACACATGTGATCACAAATGGTTTTGTTTAAAAGCACTTCTGAAGCCTTTTCATGAGGATCCTGTGGGTCTCCATGTGGGGTCCCATTTTCTGGGAATCAACTATTAAATTCAGAATTAAGAACAAAGGGAGTGCTAAGGACCCTGCATTCTGAGTTCAGTGGACCACCAGCAGCTGGGCCAACCACATTGCCCGGAAGGCTACCCACCACCACCTTCAAACTGGTCCCATCTAGGGGAGGTCTGGAAAGAAGAGGGGTGACCTTTGGGGGACCATAGTGTTCTAGTAAAGCATACTACCCACATCTTCATATGGGGCGGGGGTGGAGGAAGAGTCCCTCATGTCAAGGAAAAGAGTCCTTAAGAGAATCACTCAGACAATCTGAGGGTGACCATAAGAGGGAAGACTGCACCCTGATTATCATATGCTTCATCACTAATTCAGGTTTACTGCCCTAATCTGCTATCAGATCAGAAGAGAAGTTTTTAGGGGTGGAGCCAGCCAGTAATGGGGAGAGAATAGTATACTAGGGCCCTTGGCGAGAACTTAAAAAAGTACCCCTCTGGCCCAGGGCAGGCACACGGCTTGCCAAGCAGATGTTGCTTCTTGTGCAAGATGAAAACTTCCCTTCCCTGGGGCTGAGAGATGAATGTGGATGGAAGACTGAGTGCAGAGCCAGACTAAGCGAGGGCTAAAAATCAGGCCCTACTCCCTCTCTCCACGCAAGCTGTATTGCTTCCACGGCAGTCCTGCAGCCCCTCTGGCTTCCTGGGACTGAACAGAACAGGGGGTGAGTCTACCCAGGCTATCTTACCCCAAAATTGGGAGCCATAGGGGATAGAGGAGATTAGGGCCTCAGGCTTGCCCAGGGACACAGGAACTTTGGTCAACAGAGCATGTGTATCCGAGGAACGCTGATGGAGGCTGCTGGGCGGAGGCAGCTAAAAAGTGAAGGCTTGTCACCAGGAGGCGACCAGGCCTGGCCTCTGGTGGTTCTATAAAGTTACCACGCAGGGCGCCCATCCTCTTGGTTCTTTTGTTGGAGTTGGTAATCATTGCCCAGTAAACAGGATGCCCCTTGGCATCTAACACTACCTATAAAAAAGCATCCAAAACCATTATGCTTCTTAATTCTAGGCATACATCCAATTGAACACATATGAGCTCCCTCCGCTACATACTATATCATTGGGTTGTTGGAAAAGTCATGACATATTTTTTCTATGTTTTTCGTTGCAAAAATGCATCACGACTTTTCTGACAACCCAATATTAGGGATTCTGCAATTTCCTAGTTGCAAAGAATTAACCACAACCTTTCATGTCCTCCACAAGGAGGCAGCATAGTGTGGAGGAAAGAGTAAATGCAGCTGATAAAACTCCATGTATAAGAAGGGTCATAGTGGCCTGTGTTGAAGTTCCAGGTTTCCTTAGAGGGTTTCCTTAGAGGGATAAGCAAAAATAAAGCCGGGGTTACTCTGAAACAGATCAAATATGTACATTCTGCTGCATGTTTTTGCTTTGGAGATGAACTTATAAAGGACCTTTGATCTATGTCCACTGTCTTCCATGAGCCAGATAGCTGTAAAACCTCCAGGATTATCTCAGGGATTATAAAGCTAGTGGATTAGGGTGCAAAATCTTTGGACAAAAGATAGACTTGTGAATCCTCATCCCAGATGAACTTTAAAAAAACAAAACTCCCTCGAAACTCTTTTATAGTTTACCTCATAAATTTGTTGTTAGCTCTTTAAGTAAAAGAAGTGAAAGTGCTTCGCACTATTAAAAGCCAAAAACTCTTTATGAGTGTAAGGCACCATGAGTATTATTATGCTAATGGAGAGTCTTAAGACAGAAACTGGCCCGATTCAAAACCAAGGGGATAAACACTCACTCAAAACACCAAGTTGTGGCTGTTGTCAATACTGTATTGAACAAACTGGCTTTGAAATATTGGTACCTGAAAAAGACCCTTTGTAAATTAAATGAAGCCTAACCCAATTTTTGTATGGTAAGCATCCAAAGAGGTCAGCCTCATTTAACTTCACATGGGTGAGAGCCCCTACCTCAGTCTTGTTTCTTGGCCTTAGTCTATCCTCCCCACATCAACTCAGCGTTTGCCCCCTTCTTCAATCTGGACCCACTCTGTTTTACTCTCCTCCCTGACCTTGGTTGTAAGGACCCCACCCCACTGTGTGTGTGTGTGTGTGTGTGTGTGTGTGTGTGTGTGTGTGTGTGTGCGCGCGCGCGCGCGCGCGCGCACGTGCACATTATCTTACTTTATCTCTGAAAAAAATCTCTTACTTGGTGTTTCTTTAGTGTAGAAAAGCTGAATGCCTTGGGTTATATTAAGCATTTCTTCCAAACCAAACTTGGCGAAATAAAGGAATACAACTTACAAGGTGTCAAAGCCTTTCCCTTGGGCAATTAAGATTTGGACACAGGGATGACCTTGGGAATCTGACAGAAGCCATGAACCTTCCATAAAAAATGTATGTGCAAACATACACGACATTTTATATATGATTTCAGGAGGCTCACGCACCGTTTGGAGCAAAGATTAGGACTTTGGGGCCCTGGGCACCATTTTGAAGATTATCAAATACTATGACTCTAAGAGTGGATCTAAACAGTCATTTCACTCTTAAAGGGAAAAGAGCTTTTCTAGGAGAATGATCCCATGAGCAACTTGTTGCAGCGTGTTTTGTAAACTGGAAGTCAGAGTCTTACCTCTGGCAACATGATGAGGCTAAATGTCAGGACGAACATAACCATATTTACTCCATACATCCATCTCATGAAGGTGAAGTATGAGGCCACTGATGAACCAAACTGACCTATCAAAAAGAAATTTTTAAAAGTTGAAAGGACAAAACAAAACAAAAGCTATGTCTTGGTGCCTTCCAAAATAAATAAGCTCATAGCAACACATTGCTTCTTTTTACCTATACAGTCTCCAGCATTCTTCTTTTTCCATCTCGGTAGACAATGTTAATCATGATGGAAGTACTCTCTATTATAGAAATGTAGTTGTAGAGAATGATGATAACCTAAGCCTTTAGAGTCCATCCAAGGAAAAGCCGCCTTTTGCTTGGCAGCTAGTATTGCCATCTGAAGAGCCCATTGTATTCCTTGAGTTAACACAGTGAAGTGTGCAAATACTTAAGTAAAGTGGTTACTACAGTGGCTGGCCAGTGGTTAGCTATCATTGTAATTATATGTGCTGCACTTTTTACTCCCTTTCCTCAGGCAAACAATACTCTCCTCAAAAAAGTTTGCCATCTCCCTGGATGGATAGTTATCCTACGGGCCATCTTTTGCTGTTTCCCCACATTCCTGGCATTTTATAAGCATAGTGTAGAAACCGAAGTTCATTAATTCAGTCCACACATTTTTACTAAGTATATTCTGTCAGAAATTATCCTAGATGTGAAGCACAATGTCTGTCATAGACAGAGTTACTGTCTTAATACAACTTACATTTTAGTGAGGTGTGACAACAACAAATATGCAGGAGTTTAAAAATTTTAAAAAGAAATATATATTTATAATCTATCATGCATATCATATAGGCTACTATAGATCATATATTGGGTTGTCGGAAAAGTCATGATGTATTTTTTTCTATGTTTTTCATTGCAAAAATGCATCATGACTTCTCCGACAACCCAATATTACATATCATGTATTCTACTACATATCATATATTCTGTGTGTATTGTGTATACAATATATATATTCGTGTGGAGCAAATTGCAGCCTCTGCTTACTCAGATAAGGCCATGCTTACATGAGAGTCATGCCTCTATTTCTGGAACTTAATCTATTCTTTAGGTGCCATCTTACTTATTCCCATAACACAGCAGCAGTTTTTATAGAAACTTAAAAGGAAATCAATGTCTAAGTGGACATTTTAAAAGAAATCAATAATTTTGAAAATTGACTATCTGGAGTCATTTCACTTTGTAGAGGGATGCAGGGTTCTACAAGATTTATAAAAGTGTGTGGTTTTGATAAACATGACCCCAGGTTCTGTAACCAGATGCACTGGCCCAGCTGCAGAAAGGCTAAAACAGATCTGTCCCTCTAAGGACATCTGATCATTCACCTGGCTCCCAGTGATTTCATATTGTTTCACGGCTGTTATCTGTGTTCTCTGGTAACGGCTACCTGAGGACTGCTCAGCTAGGCTCACTCTCATGTTTTATTGAAAGCAATGGACTTCCAGCTTGTTAGTCATTAGAGTTACTCATTAACTGGAGGAGAGCCTTGTTTCTAGATATCTAGGGAAATCTTTTCCCTGGAAACGCACTTGAGATCCTCTGGTACGGGGTCCCAAGCACAGGATACGGACCCACCCTTTCTCTCTCCCTTCCCTCCTTTCTCCCTTCCTTCCTTCCTCTTCTAATTAGTACCACAGCCCCCTCTCTCCCAGCAGCCTGCAACACACAACCCCTGGCAAATGAGTTTCTTAAGTTAAATATATAAAGTGTAAATATACCTAAAGGTAAAAAAGAAGACTTAATTAAATGTTTCAGGAAGTATTCCCTCCCCCATATGTAACCCATATTCATCATGGATGAAATAAACTTTACACTCCAAAGTTTCCAAACTCTAGTTTACACACTTGAAAGTGGCTTCACAACAATTTTATTTAGAAATAGAAAAGTGAGACCTTTTTTCTTTACTGAATCTTAAGTGCAAAGAGAATGAATTGCAGGAACATAGATTTCATGAAAACCAGGGTGATTGTAGGAAAGACCCAGACACAGGCCAAAACAAAAAAACAAGTAATACAGAAAACAATGTTTCTTTCCATGACACTAATGGCAGAGGGGCAAGAACAATAACAAAACAAAGATCTTCAAGCAGAGAAAGCAAGTCGTCTGGTTGACATTAAAGCTCCTTTCGGAGCTTCCCCTATCTCAACACAAAAATGAAAAAGAAATCTTCCCTCTTCGTGTCCATTTATCCTAGCAGTTCTCTCCTACTAGAGGTTGTTGATTAAAATGGGCATTCACTAAAAACAGAAATCTTACTAGAGTGTGGCTAAAAGTGCATGATTAAACAGGAAAGCCATTTCCACGTGCTTAGTCTCTCAGAAAAAACTTATTTATTCTTGTAAACAACAAGAATGAGTAATAATGATAGTAATAATAATAATAGCTAACATATTTTGATGGTCAATTATGTATACTAAGAACTTTATCAACATCAACTCATTTTACGGCCTCTGGAACCTGGCAAGGTTAACTAGTATTAGTTCCACTGTGTAGATAGGGAATTAAAAACTTGAATACAGACTAAACCAAGATTTCATTAGTCATAATAATAGCTACCATTTAATGAATCTTTGTTTAAGACACCTATTTGATCTCTGCATATGAATTCATTGAACCATCATCAAATCGCTGCAAGAAGGGAATTATTGTACTCCCATCTTATAAAAACTTAGGCCCATAGGTTGCACAGCTAGTAAATGATGGAGCCAAGTAGTCTTGATCTAGAGGTATTTCACTCCAAATCTAGATCTCTCTTAACCATAGTGCTATATTGCTCCTCAAGTAGAACCATGCTTTAATTTATAAAAACTATGCTATATAGAATAAATATGCAGTGAATATGTGTGTCTGAAAGGATGCAGATAATATCCATCAATCAGCTATAGCTGGTCAAATTCACACATTTGGATGGTATGTATGAATGACTTGTTCTTTTTCTTCAATCTAACTTATAAATGTTTCCATCGTGAATTACTGATATATTAAAAGTGTCTTTGGCATATATTAATGTGAGGCCTTAAGCTTATGCAGTATTCTTGTTCCTGAATTTTCTTGTTTTTCTTTCAAATTATGGCTAAAGTTTCACCTTTCCCTCTGGTTATTATTAAGGCAAAATAATTTGTAGTCTGTCATGTATAATTTCCTCTTGAACAAATGGGTAACAAGACAAGCAGATAAGTACGAGCATTTCTAAATGGGAAAAGACCAAATAAATCACCTGCTGTATGAGTACAACATAAATACCATCTTGTTAGGCTAGGATACAAGGTAGTTTCTTTCAAACTGGTCTTGGGATAGAGAATTAAATGTGGCAAATTTGATTTGTATTTTCTGGAGCCCTTAAGCCAACAGAAAATTATGAGGTTTAAACTCTGTGCTTAGGGTTGTCTATTGAAGATCTTTCCAGTCTGACACACAGGGCTATCACACCTGAATGTATTCTACTATTAGGAAAAAGTAGAGTTCGATTCTGAGAAAGGCTTGTAATCTCCAGCTTGAAAGACATTCGATGATTTAATCCATAGTTTTAATAGTAATGTCAGTGTCACAATAGGTACAGACTATATTTCCCAGGAGTACAAATATGCAGCTTCTTCTGCAAGATATGCAATGTAACGGGGTTAATAAGGTGCGTTCCTGCGAGTAACCCTGGGGTTTTAGGCATGGCCTCTTTACAAGGCGGGCATGACAGTAAAACTCCAAGGAATCTCCATGTGATACAGAACTTCACAGCGTCCCTTTGTGGCAGGAATTATCAAAGCTTTTTTATGTGAAAAACAGTTGAGGCTCATCAGGTGAGTACTGACCCATACTGGTAAAGGGTATCCAGGTCTTACTGGAATCAAGATGGAAACAGCATGAGTTTTAGACTTCATTTGAGTTCCCCTCTTGATTCTGCCAATTACTGTACAGAGCTTTGTGGAGCCTCAATGAAGGTTGGTAATTTGGGACCTTCAAAAACATTTAAAACCACATTTAAAAAATATTTGTTCAGTATTTATTTAGAGATTGAGCAGAGAGTGAGGACAAGGTAGACTACAAAGACTATTGTGAGTGGAGTTCAAAAGCTCCTCTTTTAAACATGCCTTTTACCATAATCCATAATCATGTTCATTATTTCATTGCTTATCTTTTATTACCTGTCTTTCTAACCCTCCCAACCCACCCACTCCCTACATGCATAGTAATGTCTTTGGTTGTAAAATCAATGAGAGCAAAGTCTTTACCTCTCTTTGTCAGCACTGCATCACCAGTGCTTAGACACATGCCTAATAATGGTAGGCACTAAGTATTTGTTAAATTAACTAATCAATCTATTCTGAAGATTAGATGAGGTATTATATGTTAGATGATTCTGATTTCAAAAGGAATATAATAATATTTCTGAGTCTTTTGTAGGATTAAATGGTCATTTCTTTAAGAGGAAAGCATTTATATTCATTTTATAATATAAAATATAAGTTTTATAAATAGGGTACTTGTTTAACCTATTTTTTTCTGAAAAGAATTTACAGAAAAAGAAAATTATGCAGGCTTTTCTTAATATAAATTTGTTTTCCATTTAACAGTTTCAATAATTTATTACTCAAATGTATAAAGAACGAATACTTACATATATACCTAAAACTTATTGTAACTTATAAATTATAGAATCTTGGGTTGGAAATGGCCTTTTATAGTAACAGGTTGAACTCCAAGGAAACTCCAAACATGGAAACAGATGGCCAGAGATGTAAAAGGATTGCCCAAACCGCAGAGTCAGTAATGGGCAAAAAGACCTCAACTTTTAGAAAAATGATTCCATGTCCCATTCCTCAGTTGAGTTCAGCTTCAAAAACCATCACAGACCCATGCTTTCCCTATCTTTGGTAGGCTACTTTCTATGGTTAGTTAGTCCAAGCCAATGACTCTGCTGATAGACTTCTATTGGGTTGTTGGAAAAGTCATGATGTATTCTTTTCTATGTCTTTCATTGCAAAAATGCATCATGACTTTTCCGACAACCCAAGAGAAAGGTTTTCTTAAAGCATATGGTCTGCTTATGGTTATCATAAAAATCTTAGCATGTTAAGAATCATATAGAATGTGAAATATATATTTAAATAAATAACTCATTTAAAAATAAGTATATGACAATAAATAAATAAATAAATAATAAATAAATAAATGGGAAATAATTCCCCAAATAGGATCACTATTAAGAAAATCCACAACTAATCTTGCCATTTGGCCTGGTACAAAAGAAAACGTTTATAATATCTTCGTCAAAGTAACAATCATCATGCCACATCGGGAAAAGCACGAGCTTTGGGCCCAGACAAATGTTGCCTTATATCTCAGCTCCGCTACTAGCTAATTCTGGGACAGTTATTTAATCACAACTCTAAAACAGGAAGGCTAACATGCACATTGCAGGCACGTTAAAGATTAAACGAAATAATGTTTATAAAGTGCCTGATTCATGGTGGCACTCAATAAATGATAGTTGCGGTGATTGTTGAGAGAATAAAAAATAAGGGTCAATTCTCCACTGTGAGACAAAGCACCATTAAAGGTGAAGGAATTAGGACAGCCTAATCAAGTAATAAAGTATGTTTGGAAAGGAAAATAATCTATTTTGGCTTGAATTGTCCAGGTTGACTGTTCTAAATTTTTGGGGGAAAGAGGGGAGACGGAAAGAGAGCTGAAATATTATTGAGTGGCTCTCAATTCAATGTTTTCACTGTGACACACATGATAGATGGTGGTCAGAGATATAACTCATTTTTGTGTGCAATTTCTAGCAATAAAAATAATTCCATCTGTTTCTATCCCACTCAAAACAGGCTACTGCAACACAAGTGAGCATGACATTATTATTAAGATAGGCAGGAACCTGCTCCAGTATGCCTTAAACATAAGTACTTTGCAAATGTATCTTTTTAACTATCATTAATTATAAATTTCTTGGAATACATCTTATAACTGATCAAGGTTCAACCCTATCATTTTCAGAAATAAGTAGACCAAGGAATTAAACGACTGGCTCAGAGTCAACAGCTAATCTGTGGCAAAGCAAGAACCAAATCCAGAGTTCTTTCCAAACAAATTATATCAGGATCTTACTGCTTCAAATGGCCTTCTGTTCCTTAGTGCCTTTCACGGTTCCGTGTTTCAGCTGAAAAGTTACAAACCTAAGGATTCCATGATGACTGTTTGTTTGTTTGTTGTTTTTCATGTGTGTAAATTCCTTCTTCTGTTTCTTAGAATAAGAATACAGATATTTGGAGGATTTGTCTTTATTTAATTTTACTCAACACCTATTTATTAAGGCCAAATGTTGCTCTAAGTCTGGAGATTCAGGAGTGAACGAAACAAAATCTCTGCTTTCATATTCATTAGAAGGAATTGAAACAAAATAAAATGAAATAAATTAAAAATTCAATGAAAAAAATGCAGTATTTTAGGTAGTTAGAAGTGTGAAGGAGGAAAAGAAAGCAAGAAAGCGCTGATGCAAAAATATGTGGGAGGAAGGGCAACTAATGAGCTTATGTATTTTACTTCATTGCTATTTGATAATGAGAGACAGAGGACTGAGGGCTAGTCACGCCTAAAATGTGCCCCATCTTATCAGTGAATAGCCATCAACTGTGTTATTTCCCTATGGAGGCTCCATTGTAATTACGCAATGCCACATTTAACCAGCAGGAAAACCAAAACATGAAGGAAAATCAGATCCTAGTCAAAACCCTTAGAAACTAAAATATGGCAAGATTGTGCTCAAAATTGTTTTAAATGTTATCCCTTTTAAAAATATTCCTCATTATTTTTAAATGATGTATTATATTTTAAATTTTTTATTTGCCTTATTTCTAAACCTAGAACACTGCTCCAAATAAGTTTTTGATTGAGTATATTCTCCTGCCTTCTCTGTACAGAGTGAATATAGTATAAAATGAAAGCACAATATGATATTCAAATAGCAAGTTCCTGGATGATTATTGCTTATTCTACTTCAGAGGTTTGAAAATGAGGCTTTAAGAGTTCTTCATTCTTTTTAGATGTTTTTCATTTTGTCTAACATGAGAGTATATATCTTCAACGTCATGTTCATTGCCAAAATAAAATCTCTGCCTTCCCAACGATATGACTCAATGCCATTTTGTACAACACTGACTTCCCAGTGGAGGAGAGAAAACAATGTCATAATGAGAATATTTTGGTCTAATGTAGGAAGGGAGGGTGGGATCTCCAGGGCTGCGATTGGCATGCTAGCAGATCCTCACAGTGAGCAAAGAAGATGTAAAAACTGATTTTGTTTGTCTTCTTGTTTTTAATCTTCCCAATAGTACAGAAACTGAGAAAGCCATCTGACAAGCTTACGCAACATTTATCTAAGACAACCTTCCCATCTTATGAGATCTGTTGAATGCTTACTTTCAATTGCCTTGATCTTATTTTCCCATGGGATACAAGCAGCTTTGAAGATCTCAAAATCACGGAGAAATTTTGCCCATTTCTGAAAAGGAAGCAAAGTATATCAGTAAAACCCAACCTCTTGTTTTTCAGGATGCTTGTCTCCCACCCCCCATCCCGAACTATCACAAGACAATGAGCTTGGAAAGATCTCTGGCACCACACATTGCTTTTTTTAAAAGGTAAACAGTAGGTTTTACTTGTGTCCCTGTTCCCCGCAGCAAGTTAAAAAATTTTCATGGATCTCATGTTAAAGAACATATGCTGAAAAAGATCTGTTTATTCTGCTAGACAATACGAGAGCTAAAATATACTATACATAAATACTAAAATATACTATATACTAAATATACTATAATACTAAATACTAAATATACTAAATATACTATATACTAAATATACTATAATATAGTAAAATATACTATATACTAAAATATACTATACTATATACCATACTATATACTAAAATATACTATACATAAATAGGTAATTTCAATATAGGGTGGTAGTGCTATGACATGGGACACCTTTGATTCTGGTAGAGGTGGCTAAATGGAAAGGCAAAGTGTCATAGGAAAGGGAAGGAGAGAAAGAATCATAAATCAGTTTTTATAAAAAACTTTCTTCCATTTTACTCCACAATGTTGGACCATCCATGGGTAAGAGGACTACTAGGAAGAATGGGAGTGAGGAAGATAACTTTGCATATGTACACATTATGCTGGAATAATATGTGAGCTGGGTAGGTACACAGAGCCTAAACAATAGTATGAGACAAGTCTGAAGTTCAAAAGATTACCTAAACTAGAAAAACCACAAACGTCTATCTACCATGGAATGGATAAATGCTGATATCTTCATACAAAGGACTATAACACACACACACACAAAATAACGAACTATAACTCCCACAATATAGATGTATCTCATGAACACAACACTGCATCAAAGAAGCCAAAAACGAAAGCATAAATGCTATATGATTTGATTTATTTAAATTGTAAAAACAGACAAAACAAACCTGATGTATATCATAAATACATAGTATATACTTTATATTTAAGATATATGAACTTTATTCACAAAACTCCATCTTTATGAGAATACATTTAGCTTATAGATGCTATAACATTTGTAAAGAGGGGATGATAATGATATCACATACCCACTTTGCTGTGATAATTAAATAGAATAAGTTTATAGAAGAACTCAATTCAGTGCTTGGCATACAGTAAGTATTAAATAAATATTAGTTTCTTTTCTATCTTTTCCAAAAATCAGTATTTACATTGATATATCATTTGATTTTCTTATTTTTTATCCAATTTATAGTTATGCTCCTAGTAGAGAAAAACTAGATATATGGTTCTGTCACTTGTAGACATTTTGAGAAAGAAATTTTGACCTGGAACTCCTTAACTACCAGGGAATGAAAAAGAAGGGGGCACAGTCTTTTATATTTCAAAGTGATAAAATTGCACAAGTAAGTCTTTTGCCATAAATCAGTATTTCTGAATTTATTTTTCATTTTAAGTCCTCTAAGGAGATTTTTTGAACCTTTTTTTTTCTGAATCACTGCCACCCCAAATTTTAACACCACAGATATACTGTGTATGCACTGTGTATGTACATGTGCTTTATGCATATAAAGTGTAAGATTTTCTTCTCTCAGAACAGAACCAATTTCCTCTCCATTGGGGCCAATATGGCCTCCATTGAGAATATATGGTGTCTACCAAACTGATATATGAAAATTCTTACCTTGCCCATCATCATCTTAAATGCAAACCACCGTTTTCCTTTTCCTTTCCCAAGAGCTCCTTCATTTTCATTCACAAATTTTTTTGCTTCCCTAAAAAAAGAAAACAAAATAAGGGGTAGATGGGGGTGTGTTGAGATTAATAGAGTATAGAGGTAGTGGACATTTAATTTTAATAATTTTGTAGCTTTATTTCTTCTAGACCCTTAACAAGTGAATCTAAGCTATATTTCGTAACCTAGAGACTTATAATGGATGTTTAAGGTTTTTTAATTTTGGCCAGGAAGAATAAGATATTTTAGTTTTGCCTATTAATCAACTGGAGTCATTGAAAAGCAAGGAATTTATGCTAAATGTCAAAATAGAGAACCCTAACTCTTCTCATTTCTATCACATATAAAATTGAATCTGAAGTTTACTTCAGATTCTGGCAGTTGGAATGTTTATTTTTAAATACGTTCCTTCTTTTTTAAGGGTTATTATTTTTTTTAAAATAGGGCAGAGAGTTTAGGACAAACTGACATAGAACATACTTACTGACCTGGTATTTAATCTCATAAAAGCAATTATGGCTTAAAATAGAAAAATCATATACACGTATAAAGCGAATGGGGTTGGAGAAAGAGGAAAAGGAAAGGAATACTCTTTGGCCTTGCATTTTGAAATGGCTTCAAATTTCAATTTCAACATATTTTCAAGTATCTATACATTTAGAGTAGTCACATTAGTGTCTCTGTGTGTGTGTGTGTGTGTATGTGTGTGTGTGTTAAAAAACATCAATTTATCAAAATGGATAATTTAAACAGATTAAAAATATTATATTTGTAAACTTGTTAGGTCAATTTTGTTATTTTTGTTATTTGATATATGAAAACAATTTAAAGGTGGGCCAGGCTTGTCTTGACTTCTCAGGGGCCATAGAGAACCCAAGAGGTAACCCAAACCTGGACTGTGATTATACAGGTGCAATGCTGTCATCAGTTAGATGGCCCCTGGAATGTGTGGTTTTACATACAAGACCATTCATCTTGTGACCATAAATAAACTTATTAACAAAGTAAATCTTGAAAAAATGAAGTCGGTGAAGGACTTTTTGGTAAGGTGGTTCCTTAGTGCTGAATTCATGATTTCACAATACCCAGTGATCAAAACACAACACACATCTGCTGACTTAGCCAATAACTAGACAGTAGTGCCCCATTACTCAGCTGTGCACATGCACCCACCCATATTCTACCATAAACACACAAGCACAGCGAGAAGATTCTCTTCAGTCATCACGCAGACCCCACAAATCAGTTCCTGGGTGGCCCAGACAATGTCTTGCCCTTCCATATCTCCCATAGCATTGACCACTGCTTTGACCATAGGAGGTGCTTAATAAACCTAAACCTTCTGGAAACAGAGCTGAATGGCATAACTCAGGGTAGAGGTATACAAGAGAGTATCTAATAATTATATTGTCCACATCAATTAATGCTTGAAGACAAAGTCTTTCCTAGACTTTGGGATTGTGTTCTTCCTCATTTGTCTTCTCAGAAACTTAACAGGGCAGCCTCCTGGGACTGGAGAAACGTTACTAGACTGGCCTTGTTGTCAAACACCCTGACATTTGACATGAACTCTGGGCTCCGAAGATTAATTGAAAAAATAGTTTCTAAAACATTTTACACATTCTCACATGTTCAGTAAAGCCACATCAAGAACTGAGCTTTCATGGCTGGATATTTTTAGATTCATGAAATCAAGAAAACATGACTTTTAAGCATTAATTGGGTGTTATAGAGGTGATAAGACAAGAGGGTGACATCTAGCAGACATTTATAAAATGTTGAACAGATCTAAACTAAAAATCAGTTAACAAATTCTAACTTAGCCTCTGAGATTTGCCTCTGTGACCTTGCCCGCGTTTTTGACAATCTCTATACAATTAGGCATGAGTGCGCTGCTCTCAAAGGTAAGCACACTCGCCCCAGAGTCACACAGACCTAAACAAGTTCTGGCACAGGTCCCCTTAGTTATTATGTGGCCTTTAACAGGTTAGTATTCTCAAACAAACAAAAATTGGGCAACTGCCTTCCTGCTTGTCAGGGTGGCGGCAAGAATGAGGTGAGATCATAGAAAGTGTTGAAGAGATTATTCATAGTCAATTCTACTGAAATGGTTGTTTTAAAACTGCAAATTTGTTTTAATATGACTAATAAGAGTATGAAACAATTTAAGAACAGCACACATTTTTGTTCGTTTATGTGTAATTTTATCTATAAGAAGCACTAGGTGAACGCAGAAAACTGCATCCAGCTAAACCTCGCGGTGTAGGAATACACAAAACGCACGCATTTCATGTACCAGCTCCTTCACTGCACCAGCCATGTTAGAAAAGCCACATCCATTCACAGCTGGTGTTACAACAACTCTCCTTCTACACTTCACAATAATTCACGAATTGCAACCCTATCCTGGTAAGGCACTTCCACAAGCAAACTTCAGGTCTTTTTCAGAATAAGCTGTTATATTGATTGTAGTATTTATGTATTTCTTAACCATTCAGCATGTGTAAAATGGTGCTTTCATTTTATACCTATCTTTTCTTAACGTGTCACTGATGACATTTGTATCATACCCTTATTCCCATTCTTCCTATAAACCCTATCATTTTCATGGCCCAATTTTGTATATTGTGGTGCTTTTTTAGGAACCCATGCATCATGTTATAGCAGAATTAACTATAATTCAATTATCTGGCACCAAGAATTTTGAAGTTCATAAAACTAATTATACATAGAAAGTATCCCATCATTCTCTGTTATAATAAACACATAAATAGAAAATCAAAAATTCTTCTTAGTAGTAAAATTAAAATTTGTTTTTCAAATTTATGGGCATTTTCACTACTCTAGATACTTAGCAGATAATTTAAAAGGCACTCAGTTTGGCCTATTAGAGTTATAGCACTTAGATTAAGTGGACAATTAGAAAACATCACTACTTTAAGCAGTTAGAAGTATAAAGAAATAGCTATTCTACTCCATATTTCTGACAAGGTTTTTAATTTTCTGAGCTGATAATTACGGTGCAGGAACATCAAGCTATTAAGATTTAACAGAGAGAGAAAGGAAAGTCAGGGTTATAACCAAATAAAATCACCACAAAATTAATTATGAATTCACTTAATAATATAGAAACCTATTCACATGGCATTCATAAGATTTTTGTCATTTACTATAAATATAATTTTCCTTTGAACAATCTAACAAGTTTTTATTGTTTGTCCCTTCAATTGCCAATTTTTCCCTGACACTAGGCATAGTTTCATATTTGTCTCCCAATTACTACCCCACTCCTCCCTCAACATACATATATAAAAGTCTAGATTCCATTCTACTCCACAGGTGCAAATTGTTTCTCTAATGTCCTACCCCCTCCTCCATTGTCCAAGAGATCTCCCCCCAAATTTCACACAAAAGAGATCCCTAAACAGCCATTCTAGCTCCTACAGCTCCCTAACTGCCTACCTGGCCAAAATAACTACTAGACTTAATTCATCAGAAATCTGACAGGGGGCGAGAGGGGGGGAGGGTTGACCTTAAAACAAAGCCAGGGGCTATGGGGTGGGTAGCAAATATTTGTTAAGCAGGAACAGATTCTTGATTCCCCTAATCAGATGCTCTTGGGATGTGAAGAAGCACTCTTGAACCTTGCAGGTCTAGATGACAGAACACTGGACAGGAAGCGTGACTCAGGGAGAGAGAACATGCCTTAACACTATTTTCAGTACTGCCCTTTGCAATGCTCTGGCATGAAGTCAGAATGGAGGAAAACTAGTATCACCCAATCCCATCCTCCCTGATAACAGGTTTCTTAACCAGAAGACATCTTTCATTGTGGTATTCGAAATAAGGTACAAAAAGAAACTATCCAATATGGAGATAAACACTGACTGATAGTTATCACACTAAAGTGCCCAGGACAGATATCAGAATGCAAGCAAAGAAAGAGCAGTCTTGGAAAATTAAAAAGCAAGAACATTTCTTCATAGTTTCCCTACAGTGAATCCATTTCCATACCCATTTATATTTATCTGAATAATTTAAAGGGAATTTTCTACATGGCTAAACGAGCTAGACTTTTGTGGATAAACTTTGGCCTCAAACCATCCAAATGTCTGGCTAAAGAAATGTGTGTCATCCCCCTGAACTGCATTCAACAAAAGCTGCTTGCCAAGACGGTAGCCCCGTGTCCAGGTCTCAGAGCTCAAGCAAGCCCTGGTACAATATGCCCAGCTCTCTGAGCTGTAACCCCAAACCCAGGGATAAATAATTGAGTGAGATCTATTTAATGACAATAATACCTAGCTTCATAATTCATTTATCAACCCCTTGTGCTGGTAATTAGAATAATAAGGTTTTGTGGGCTTTCAAGAATGCTTTCACAGTTAGTTAAAGGAGCACACATTAGCCTAACTTACAAAACAGATAATTTACCCATAACACATGATACCACCCTGATTACACAGGAAAGTTGGGACATGCTATGCTGCCTTTGACACATTCTCATCCCAGAAAACATGTTCCCTGTTTGGGTTTGGTTAAGTTGAGTTTTCTATCCTATTGTTTTCAGTCGGACAGTATAATTGAGCAACCAATTTATTGCTCAAGTAAATGAAAGGCATTTCAAAACTTGTCCTTAAGGCATTTGTAATCAAAACATGTACTTATGAACACTTCCTAGTAAAGGGATAAGTAAAATGAGAAACCTTTTTAATAAGCACATTTTTTTAAAATTTGACCATTTAAATTGACTAAAAGTTAAAATTCTGACTTTTCCTTAATTATTACTGAGTAATTGAAAGTTGCAGAGGTAAGAAGCTCGTCTGAAGTGCAGAAATTAAAAATAAGGATTACGGCCCTCCTGGATAATATAACTCCATAATTAAATGGGTAGAATTATTTAAAATCATCCTAATACCAGAAGTGATGGTTCAAAACATGTGTTTTTATAAAGGGGATGCTGGTGACAGTAATTGTAATGGTTAAGATGCTCAGTTGCTCCGTCTACAAAATAGAGATAATAATAGCTATTCTATTAGGTTT